TATCCTTTAGGCTCCTTTACACTGAGGACACGGCTCCCTCCCTCTGCAGAGATGCATACTTACCTAAGGATTGTTTGTTGACATGCTCCTTTTCCTGTCCGCGCCTGCACAGTACATCCCCAATGAGACCTACAGGGTGCATCTACCTCTATCTCCAATTTGGGAGACGAGCCCCATAGATGTAAATAAGGATGTAATGAGCAGGCACAGCCAGGAGGAGACATCCACCAGAGGATCAAATAGCCAAGGTCGGGCCTATCGGAACTTGATAAGTATGTATCTGTGCATGGGGAGGGAGAGAGCGTTGATGTCAGCTTAAAGGGGCCTAAAGAATAAGTGCACTTTGTTTTAAAGTGCACTTATCCTTTAAACGGTGTACAACTAATAAAACAAATATAAATATATTGTAAATATAAATATATTCCCCGATAATTGTATGTGTCAGTTTATTCCAACAAAGTTTTGTGTCAGTGTCTTTTGGTGCAGACCTGACTGCACAATTGTATGGATTCAATGCAGAGGCTCCTGCTGGCGTGGAATAAACTGAGTATACAGAGGGAGGCTTAGTATTAGGACTTAGTTTATGGATTATGTTCAGAGATTAGTTGTTAAAACTATGGTTTGGTTATACATCGAGGCAAGGTGCCAGGTTTTGGGAGGGTTGAGTGTCAAAAGCTCACATTATGGGTATGTTAGGTGTTAGGGCAAGTCTTAGGTTCAGGTTAAATGTTAAGGCATAAGTTAGGGATCAGTGTTGGGGGTAAATAAGAGAGTTAATCCAGGAGGAGGGTTAACGTGATATTAAAATAAAAATGTGTTTAAGCTTTTTCAAATACTGATTTAATCAATTACAAAGGATGCTGCTCCTTGATGCTTATAAGTTTTAGTTTCCTGCAGAGCCAGCCGGTCCCTGAGCACAGGCCCCGATATCCCATTTTAGGGTGGCTCATTTCCCTTGCAGGGTTCTATGGAGCCACCCTTGTGCATCGTAGCTGTGTGTGTCTCCACAAACACAAAGGTACAGCAAAGCAACCCATTCCCCTGCTCCCCTCTCTTCTCTAAGCTACTAGATGGACAGCTGTTGCTGTCCCTTGTGATCTTGAACTGGGCAGGAATTTTAGGGCAGCGGAGCAGAGAGAGTTGGAGCCAGCCGTTCAGAAACATGATTACTGTAATTGCCTGGACAAAAATATATAGAAATACTTTTCTGGGCAATGCATATTTGTTATTTTTGCATTGAATATCTGCATTCATTATTTAGAAACGTTTGAGAGTTTGATACCACTTTAAGAACTGGGTGCAGTTTTAAACACTGAAACGGTTAGAGAAGCTGCAGGATGCACACTTATTGTCAACACTGAGAGCTTACATCCCAGGGCTGATGTACAAAAGCATTTACACATACAACAGCACATCAGATGCGCAAAAACAATCAGATTGTATCTTCATGGTATTTACTGCATGCCTGTAACCTATCAGCTACATGTTTCAACTGGCTACATTTGAACAAATTTAATTTGCTATGAAAGTGGTTTAGCCACTGCATGTCTAAAATTAAATAAAAACCCGGACTGCACTATATGCATTGAACATCAGTGTACTAGAAAGAGGATTAGGAGACCCAGGTGTGTTTACATTCTCTCATTTATGCAGTCCCATGATGCATGTTTACCCAGCAAATCAGCCCCTAGGTCGTTATGATCAGTTCAGAACAGGATTTTTTATATATAAATATATTACTGTGCTATAAATATATTACTATACTATATTACTGGGAAAACTTCCAAGGATATTGTCTTCCACAGCCCATCCATATATAATAATAAAAACAGATTATTTAGGGAATGAATATGTGTTTTCATCCAAAATGTCAAAACCTGAACTTGTCCTCAATATGATACAACAATAATGATATAGATCAGGATTCTCTGAAGTGGTCAATATTGATCCCCAAGGATCGACTACACTATATAAGGGATTAATAAATGGGTTGGGGATCAAAAGGGGTCAGTAAATACCCGGGAATCCATAGGTGTTTGATATATGATGGAAGGTTGATTGGTCAGCCACCAACGACAGAGGCCTTGAGTTGTCTCTATTGGCAGTGTGTTTTCACCAGCGAGCGGCCCTCTAATATGCATGAATAGAGGGCCACTGCTGCCTGATTGTGGCTGGTCACTGACCCAGATACCGAGGCAATCCGGGTCAGCCAGGCCTATTTGTAGGGGAGGGCCTGGAGCAGCAGCTCCACCCGCCCCTACATTGATCTGGCCCTGCTATTAACGCTAAAGAATTGTAAAGGCGTTTAAAGTGTAGCTTATGGGCAATTTTGGGTACTATAGTTTTTGACGCCATAAAGTCTTTAACACAACTGTAGTTTTTTTTTTATGTTATGAGAAACTACGTAAGGGGATCAATGAGTTGATGAGTTTGGGGACCCCTGGGTTAGTTGATGTTTTCGGCATGGCTCAATTTTCAAATCATGTACTGCTAGAGATCACTGATCACGGACATGTCGTGACAAGATTCGAAGACAAAGTCAACAATAGTGTGAGTAAAACCGATGCCAAAACACCAGAAAGCTAGAGAAGTCCAGTATAATGTCCAAGGTCGGGGGGACTCCTCTAGCCTCGAGGTGCCATGCCACTTTTAATATTTATATGCACAGCATGCACAAACTTCTTTTATTTATAAAATAGGATTTTGTTGGAATAAAATGTTCCCATAACAGAACGTCTATTTAAGATGCAATATATTTGTATTTATTGCTGTGTTATAATGTGGACACTGTTTAAGCTCCAGTTTTTCGTGTACGTATTTTGAGAAGCTATACTTTGCAATGGAGCTCTGTTGTGAAAATCTACTTTTTCATAATTTTCCTCCTGTTACCTCTTCCAGTGCAGCATCTTTGCCTTAGAATATACTCCCGTGGCACATATCACAGGATGGAAATAACAGTGGGAACAACAAGGGGTACTAGATTTACAGGTCTATCATCGACCTCACTGCATCGCACCTTCTCTGCTTGGCTCTGTATGCAAATGCATGTTCACAAACATGTAGTGTTATTCAATAACCAGGAAAAGCACAAAGCAATGGATGCAAAGTGCTATAACCCATAGCAACCAAACAAAATACACTTTACCTGAGTAGTACATAATGAACTCTGACTTGATGCACTGTGCTCCTTGTGCTGTTTTGTTCAAAAGGCCCGCAGATAAAGTGTAGAGTTCTTGTTTGAGTCTCATAATCAAACTTGTACATTTGGAGCCTTTCTGTTGGCCTTAATTCACCTTGTTATGTCACCTTCTAATTCTTGTTATTTGCCATAATGATTGTTATTTTTAGTAATGACATTCAATGAGAGCTAATAATTGTTATGGCTTGTAGTTTAGGGAATTAAGCCTAAATGACCAGAAGTTAAAACAGAACTCCATCCACATCTACCTTTTTAGCTTTGGTAGGAGCTCATGGTATGTGCAATTACAGCATATGCCTATATAATGACAATCCACTAAAAGTTAGCAATCATTGCTATAAACTTTTTCTTTCAAATACTATTGTATTTGGCAATATGTCAGTATATAGACACTGAAGTCAGTGTGACTGACACAAAGCTCTATAGGTAAGGGCAGTAGGAGTGGCAAGGGCAAGGATTGACTGCATGAGTAAGCATAGCTTTAAACTCTGAGTGCCCTTATCACCTATAACCCTAAAACTACTTTAAATGTTTTGGATGAAATTCATCTTTAAAGTGAAAAAGTCAACCATTTTAAGCTTTTAACAGCACAGGTCTTACCCGAGAACAGACAACACAAGATGTCTGCTGTTACCCAAGTCGGGAAGAAAACCTTCCTCCGTGTGCTTCTCCGAAATTAACTGCAGTTTGTTACTGGGACCAGGCTGACTTTGGGACTAAGCCCTGTAGACTGCCAATGAGAATGCCTCAATGCCCAGTAAGGGCAACCTTATTGGACAGGAAAATGGCAGCTGACAGGGTTAGAGTCAAATCTCAGTATCAAAGTGAAACTAGTTTCAAAGAGGCACACATAGGAGGGTTTTCTAGGCAGCCAAAGTAGCAGAGGGCATCTTATGGTGTCTGGAAAACATCTACTTTAAATCACTTAAAATGGCTGACAGTGTTACTTTAAGTTACAAATAAAGATTCATGTTATACTTTGCTTGCTGCAAGTAACATACACCATACCATCCATAATGTACTCTGTGTCAATGAACATATTCATTAGAGATCTCTAGAACATGCTTTTCATTCTGCTGTGGTTAAGAGTGTGACTCTTGAAAGTGAAAATTAGCTCAATGAATAACCAATTTATTTATTCTCTCCTATTTTAGTTAATTAGCCTTGTTCTTCATTCAAGTGGCATTAATTCATGTTTCTTTTCCATTTTAAGGGAACAGCATAAACAAGAAGCTGATCAGAAGACATGATTGAACAATCATAAGCTATTTGTATTGGCTTACTACAACAATATACACCATTGCTTTCCCTTAATGACTAGTTTCATATTCCATAGTGTCTGTTTGCTTGTAGCGGAAGAACATGATATCACATACCGTTCTACAGATGTTCTGATGCGCTCTGTTCATATCCTTCCCTATATTATTTTTACAACCTGCTCTCTCGACTGAAAACCTACACAAACCTTGGTTGTGTCTCATTCACTATACACTATAGAAAACAGAAAATTCCTTCCGCTTTGTTCTGGATTCAGCCTAATAAGTATTTTTTGTAAACAAACTAAGTCAATCTACCCAAAAACACTACAATAAAATGTTCAAAAAACACTGAAGTTATATATCAAAATACACCCATGGAAGCCCTAACCAGTTATCCTGCCTTAGACATCCTGATCCACTCTTTGTAGACCAAGTCCAGAAAGACTCAGAGAAATTGATCAAACTAGTGAGTGTGCGTACACAGTATGCTCTTGTACAGCCCATGCATAAAAGCAAATGATCAAGGCATATAATACAGATCTAGATATATTGTACACATACAAGTATATTAAAGGGCCATGCATGCCAGTGCTAAATTCAGTTTGGGGCGGGGGTGCAGGCAGTGTGCAGTCCATTCCAAGGGATGGATGTGGGGGGTGGTTGCAAAAATTACATTGGATCCTTAATGTCTGTCTGAGTTTTAATTCAAGTATGATGCACATCAACAAAGCATAATCCTAGGCGATCATTATGTAGACTCAACATCCATGGTCAGGGTCCAACTTTACCAATAGGTGCATGTCTTCTCCAGGTTCCTGCATGTGACTCTAAATTCTCACTTGATTGCAGGTGACACAACATGAGCTTGATTCTGTATCACAATATCTTGAGATGCTGAATAACCCAGAGGAAAAATGAACACAATTAAAAATTTATCAGCGTTTCACATGGTCTGAACAGAGTGAAATGCCAGATCAGTGTGAGGTCCCAGAAGGAATGGATTCACTATTGCATCCTTGCCCCTCACAGAGCACGTTACAACACAGAGTGCTTTTCCAAGATGCAGGGAGGGAAGGAGGAAAGAAGATGGGCATATATTGCCATGAAAGCCATAATCAAGGAGTATACCATGCTGGCCAAAGGACGGGAGCTTCAAGAGAAAGCCATCTGCTCCTTGTGGTACACGCGGAGAGGTCACACCAGGGATATGGGCACTGGGCTATGTGGATTGCTGTGAACGAACTCTGGATTGATGAAGGTGAACCCAGCAAATTCACTCTGATCGATGCCAGCTAAGACCATTTGATCAGGTGGTGTCAGAACCGGAGCAGCTCGGGTGAAGAATTTGTCAAAGTTTTCTCCACTTTTCCCGCACTGTAACAAAAATCATATGAGTCAAATTTTCTTCTGCAAGTAAATAGCAAACAGCACACATAATGTCCAAGTCAATCCAAACTCACAGTTATGGGAATGCAGTGCTAGGATGACTTACCCAGAGCCTTCTAATGCTTCTTAAGGACTCCATGCCAGAAAATAAATAATATACAGTAGGGTGATTACACTCCTACTGGCCACAGAAGGGAACTAAAGGGCCTGACAGTTCTGCTTCCTTGTATCTGCCTACACCTGCATCTAATATTCTCTTACCCCACCAGTATTAAAGCTGAACCCGGGGAGGCCGATAAAAAAGCACAAAATACATATGTCAGAGCTATTTTGCCTGCCAAAGGATTTGTAATTCTAGCCATTCAGTCCAGTGGTTTACATATCTTTGCCATACAGTAAGCAGGTGACTTGCATTTACTCTTATGCAGTTCAGCAATATAGCCAAGTCACCACCCTGCCCCCAGCATGTGATTGGACAGTGAAAGAGCCACAGCAACCCATCCCCTGTGACTCTTATCTCCTGTTACCCAGTGCTGCCCTCCCTCTTCCAGTCAGAGCTTTGCTGTACTGAGTATTCGAAGAGGCTGATATCAAGCCAAATTCAGGTATTTAAAATTATTTCACTATTGTTGCCCCAACCCTCACTGGGCACAACTGTTCCCATCACTGCCAGCTCAGCACCAGTGCCCCCCAAACCTGAGAATCATTGTTGCTCTCTCTCCCCCCACTGAGCACTAATGTCTACCCCCATGCCTCTAACTGAAGGCGACCGCCTCTAACTTAAGGGGACCGCCCCTAACTTAAGGGGACCGCCCCCCCACCCCCCGCCTGACATTAGGGCATGCTCCCTCCCACAGACACTAAGGCTACATTCACGAGTGGCTATTTTGTGTGGATTGGGACTCCTGTGTTAAGAATCTATGGATTCTTGTGGTAGGAATCCCAGGTGTGTACGTAGAGATGTGGCCGCTGAACCCACTCAAGCAAATGATGGGCTAGGATAGATGATTGTCCCTGAATGCAATCTGTCTGCGTTCAGGGACAATCATAAGATGTGTTGTGGATTACATAGTCCTTACCAACGTTTATTTTGTTGACAGTTGCTGTGTAATTTTGCAAACAATGTTCTTTTGTAAGGTGGGCTAGCTCACTGTCTATTTGTTTTTTCCTTTAGATTCATGTAAATGAGACTCTCCATCATTGGTGGTGGAAGGACTGCAGACTATGTATAGTGTAGACAATATGTAGGCTCAGACTCTATTTAACCATGCTATTTTAAGCCATGTCCAATATTTAATGAAATTTCGCCACAACCATTTTTGGCATGTATTCTGTGTCCTAAGATATCGCCCAGGTTCCTTTCAAAGAGGCTCTTGAACTGCATATTTGCTGGTAGATCTGAATGAGATTGTGTGACCAGATTATAATATGCATGGTCAGCTTTAGACTTAAATGCATATCACCAGGTTTGAGAGATCCAGACACTTGTTTTCAGATTTCAGAATTGTTCCATGTACAAGAGAAGTTCTTGCACAGTGAACATGCTTACAAATGTAGTTATGTGGCACAATAACAGCTGTTCGATATCCAACCAAATATATACAGGGTGACCATCTGCAGATTAGGAGCAAAAGAGCTTAATCTTCTACAGTAATCAACACTTGTTTACGTACCACAGATGCATTAAGTCTGACTATAAACATATCAGCTGGACTGCAAGGTACATGCTTATGTGTAAATCTTACGGACCATGCTGTTCATTGCTTGTGAGGAACTAGAAGGGAACGAAAGTCGCATAATTACGTGCCTGCATTTTCATGTCATCTGACTGATCTCTCCATAGATAACTGATAGATTTACGTTGTTATCCTACTTGACCTACTACTAGGCCAGAAAAAGACCAAAGATCAACAGTTTATTGAATAACTAGATGTTTGTAGTAAACAGATCTGGGGATCTTCGAGTTTTTTTATTTAGCTGTTTAGCTTAAGAAAATAGTGTAGTTATAGCTAGCAGCAGTTCAAGTAGACTTGCTTTGTAATACTGAAGACATTTCACAGCTTAGCCGGGACATTTTTTCAGTTCTAATGAGTGTCAGGAATATACAACAGGATTTATATGCACACAGGTAACTCTGGTTTAACTGGATGAGCAGCGCTAAAAAGATCAAATAGTGAACAAATTGAACTATTACCAATAAATTTGTGTTGAATATCCGTGAAAAGTGATTAAATTAAATAAAATAAAATGAAATTTACCCCTCGTGTGACGAGTGATGACTTCTATTAAGGTGTAACAAAGTGGTAAATTGAAAGCTGCCGTACTATAAACCCGTAGGTCTAGAATGTATCAACCGCATATACAGCGCTACTATTCAATCAGTGGTCATTAAAGTGTGTACATCAAAACTGTTTTAACAGACAATTGTCACCTATTTATAATAAGTGCTAAATCGCAAGTGATGGTGAGAAAGAAACAATAGTGTTTAACAATAATTATTATCAAAAAAAATAAACCATGACAGAAAATTGTCAAACTCTGGTACTAATGTGATTCAAAAATAGAATAATAAACTATGGTGTTATCATATTATTCATAAACAATTTTCTTCCAATTATAGGATATATTTATGTGCACAAAAAATATGTGAACAATGATGATCTCTGTAAAGGGTTAACTCTGTGAATTAAACAAAACATAAATAAAAAATATAAAATATAAACAAAAAAATATAAATGAAAAATAAGAATATGCAAAACGAAAAATAAAGTCTTTGTGATTATTTCAATCGGTTTGAGTGAGGGTGATCAAACCTTCCAGTATTCAGTGATTACACAATGGTTTTTCTGGGGATTGTGTTGTAGTCAACACATACCCCTTTAAATTGCGTACTCACCAAAGGGTTTTTGGCTGTAACAGACAGCCCCACACGATTTGTCCACCGGAGCACGTTGGCCCGATGTCTTTATCGATACTTCCTATGCCGTCACTCTTCTAAGTATAGAATGTTCATTCATTCATGCAAAGAAAAAGGTCCTTCATAGTGCAGTAATTTCCAGGAGTTTATTTAGAAAATAAAATATCAAATACAATACAATAATTCTACCATACCAAACTTGATTGTTGTTAAACCGGCCGGACGTGTTTTTATTGTAATTGCTATTTTATTTTTGAATAAACTCCTGGAAATTACTGCACTATGAAGGACCTTTTTCTTTGCATGAATGAATGAACATTCTATACTTAGAAGAGTGACGGCATAGGAAGTATCGATAAAGACATCGGGCCAACGTGCTCCGGTGGACAAATCGTGTGGGGCCGACCTGTGACAGCCTCATTGTCATAGGTCGGCTAGAACTATGAGGTAAGTGGAAATCACTCATCTCATAGTTCTCCTTTAACAATAATAAAACATAGGACTAAACTAAATTAATAAGCCACAAACAGGAACACTCACAGGACGTGGTTTGAAGGGTGGTTGGATTTCCAGACGTTCTAAACGCTCCCAGTCTATCCAGCGGAAAAAGGCATGGTCGCGTATATCACGTTCCCCATCACAGCCTGAACCAAGGCGTTTCAGTGGATGTTTCGTAAGCAGCTGGAGAAGAAAGGATATTAGACAAGCCAGTTATACTGTTCGTCCTGCAGGGAAATCACAGCAATGTTGTCAACCTGTTCACAGAATAGTCTTAGGTAAATATGTAGGTTTTAACGGGCTAAGTAACAAACAAAGTCTATCTTCAGCTAACATTTTTTACAACGTTTTTTTTTTACTAAATGGATTACAGATTATGAAAAAGCTGACTGTTGTAAGCACCCTTAGCAGTCTTATATGGTTGGTCCTAACTCTGTAATCATCCCTTTTGCTGGACAGCTTGGCCTGCATTTAAGTGCAGAAAACATAAGAAAAAAGGAATGTGAAATAAAGGAAATTCTGTACTAAATACTACTTTTACAGCCATTAACTGCATACACTTACTAGAATACAATTTTCTCATTATAGTGGTGCTTTCATTTTAGGAATCCTACTAAAACCTTCCCCTTTTCAGGATGAACACTTCAGGGGTAATTTTCAACTTTAAAAGCAGATCTATATTTTTCCTACTGCCCTTCTTTTCACTAGGTTTATTAGATCTGACCAGAATGAAATGGAGTATTACAAACAAACCCCTCATAACTGTGTGCATGTTTAAAGCAGAAGAAAATGAGTGAGGATTGTGGCATAGTGAGTCACTTGTTGACCTTCTCTCTCAGCAATTCAGCATTTGCGTTCTTTGGCCAAGACTACAGAGCTTGGGATTACCTTCTCCAGCATTTCCCTAGCACCACCCATGCCTATATGAAAGCCAGACAGTGTTGTGGGCCTACATCCTTAAGCAGCAAGCACCCAGAGAGAGAGATAAATATTTCATATCAGCCCCTTTATAGATCTCTTCCTGTCCGTGCTCACTCAGAAGTTGGTTGGTAAAGAGTGGCAGCTGTATTACGTATGTCCAGTGATGTGCACAATGCAGAGTTATTGGAGGTTCCTGGCAGTGACAGGCGGTATCTCTTCTTCCGGTAAGCTGACAGCTTTTTCCTCCATCATTCTAGGTGAGGCTCTGCCTCCCTTGACCGTACGTCCTAGGGCCTGTCCACTAATGGAGGGCCACATGCATCTTTGAGAGCTACCTCCACTGCCCAACAGCATATATTTATATAACGTTTAAGACAGTATTAGCTTTGTTACCCCTTTGCATATGGAGACAGCCTCTCTGGACATAGATTTGGGATAAGATACGGTCTGCTCCATAATGGACTGGAAAAGCTCATCTTCATCTTCGCCATCAAATGGAGGCTATTGTGGTATTGGGAAAAGGAAGACTGTTTTGTAAACATATTTCAAAAACATACAGAACACAAACTTAACACAGTTTAAAATCTTTATACAAAGCATATATTACCGATAAATGAATACATCCAAACATTTTAAGAATTTGAAGTTCTTTCTTAATTTCTAATTCCTGAAGTCATAATCTGGAAAGGTGCAGTAATTTATATGACATGGATAACACTGACATTTTGCAAATGGATAAAAGTATCAAAGTTGTTAATATTTTCAGCAAATGAGAGAAAAAGCTCATTCACACCATACCACCGTTTATAGCATATATTATGACCTGCATTATAATTCATAGTAATGCAATTCACGGCAATGCATTTGATGGTGTACATTGTGGTCAGTTGAAATGCAATGTTAATTGCACATGAATGCACAATCTACAGTGTGGTGTAACACACTTACATTATAGCACACTGCAATACACAGATACATATCCATTATCAGGTGAAAATAAAAAAAAAAAGCCTAAAAAAAAGAAACTAATACATTTTTGATTTTGGGTTTAGATTTTAAACTGGAAAATTTTTAACTTTGACCTCAATAGTGAGGGACTACAAACACTGCTATAAAGACTATAGCTCCTTCAATTGTCATTAAACCCTTTACAGCAGGTAGGGCATACTGGTCTGTGTGTGGCCCTCTTACTTCTTTGCTGCCCTAAGCGGTTTAAAATTTCAACTGAATAAGGCCCTTGCTGTTCTTTATTTGATAAAATATAGATTTCTTTATGCCATTCTGCAGCCTAATTCTTCAAGAAACATTTGGTGTCCATTTCTCTGGGATAAAATATACATTGCAATTATTACAGTAAAATTAATTACTAAAGTGCAATGATCTTTTTACAAAATTAAGTAGACGTGCCCTCAGAAGATATCATAAGGTCCTTGGAAGATTAATTTCACTCAATTTGAATGTCTGTTTTATTGGAATGTCACATGCCTGTTCTACAGAGAATTGGACCTTATTCTGCTGTCTAAAAGCCTAAAATGTAATATGACATAATTGCCCTGATTTACCAAGTTACAAGTTAACTTGAGGAGTGCTAAATAGTGCTTAATGGGTATCTAAATCCAAAAACAAATGTAATATATTGCAGTTTACCAGTCCTTTGGTGGTGGCTGCGTTAGTTTACTTTTTAGACTTCCTTTCCTTTATGTTCACCCATTGATCAGTGATCAGTGATCATTCCTGTTCTAGGGTGGCACCTTCACTCACTGTACTGAGTCTATTTAGAAGTAGCGTTGTCACCCTAGGCTGCTCTCCTGATTTGGACTACAAACAATGGCCCCTGTCCTCATATCCATTACAAGGGGAGGGGTTTTGTAATTCAAATAAGATAGCTGAGAAAGCTGTCAAAACCGTTTGAGATTTCAGGAGATAACAAGGACACTGAATTTCTAACAAGGCATACAGGCAGGCCCGCCATCAGGGGGGTATGGCCGATACTCATGTGGGGGGCCCGGGACCCTTACATGGGTATAAGCTGACGGCCGTACAGGTGACAGGCGAGGGAATGGAGGCGCCCGAGCCCAAGCAGCGCCGAGCCCCAGCAGTGACAATCCAGTGGCTTTGGAAGAGGCTGGGGTCCCAGCAGCGCTGCCGGTGTTCTGATCTCGGACTGGCCGGAAGTGACATCAGTAGCTCCAGTGGTCAGTAGACTCCGAGAGCCTTATTCAAAACAAACTTAGGTATGTACATTGTTTGTATTACAAAAAAAATAGTGCAATCATAATTTGAGCTCCACTAATTTGTGCCTTTTATATCTGCCTGGAGTTCAATTTAAAGGCATGCTAAAAAGACCTCTTACCTAATGGTATCATATGATATTTTAGCAAGCAATATGCACCACTTAACTGCTTGATTAAATCAGGGCAAATATGTATTTTGACCCTATAAACAAGATCCGAAAAAGAAGACTTACCTGTCCTGCAAGCATTTCATACAGCAAGACTCCATAGGACCACCAGTCAACAGATTTTCCATAAGGCTGATATGCAATAATCTGAAAGGAATTAAAAAAAAAAAAAAGAGTAAAAAAGAGGCCAAGAAATTATTTTTTTAAGTAATCCTGTCGATATACAGTATATACAGTTATATATATATCTATATATATATATATAGATATATATATATCTGTATGTATGCATGTATGTATATGTAAATCTCTTGAATTCAGTTGACTTGTTCAGCGCAGATATGCTTTTCTCCCCCCATTCACACAGGCAAAAACATTCAACCTTCTCTTCAGTAAATTAATATACAGCCATAAAATGCAGGTCATAATGTGATGCTGCAGAGGTTTTATTAGCAATCTATATTACGGTATGTAGAAGAGCCAAATGTATTATGCAATAACATCATTTATCATGAATGCAGCAGTTATTTACCAGACCTATGAATAAAAAGGGTAATGTCCAATGTGTTTTTAACTGTTATGTATACTCTTACTTTTCTTACCTAAAAGACTGGCTAGAACATATTGTGGCCCTACAGGATTGTATCATCAGTACTTCTCTTGGCTTGACGGGATTAAATCATCAGTATCTATGTTGGCCCTATATAATTATATCATTAGTACCTATCATGGCCTTACAGGAATTGGTATCATCAGTACCTGCCTTGGCACTACAGGGCCTATTGTGGCTCTACAAGATTACATCTTGGTACCAATATTTACCCTACAGGGGCATACCATGAGTATTTACACCATATGGCCAAATTTTGGGGACACATGACTATCATACCTACTGTGTAAGGACAGAGGTGCCTAGTGAAGCAGATACAGTTACAGAGGTGCTGTGTGAAGGTGGTTAAAGTGACAGAGATGCTTGGTGAAGGGGGATGCCGCAATAGAGGTACATGATGGAGGGGAGTGAAGTGGCATTGGTGCTAGATGAAAGAGGGTACAGTGACAGAGGTGCTGGGTGAAAGCGAGGGGATTTAGAATTCTGTGCGCTACAGCCATTAATGGTGGCATTTAGCCTATTAAAGAGCACTCACTTGTTACCTGGGTGTGGGGTCCTCCTTGTATGACCTCATAGCGGCTCTAATAAATAAAAATAAAATTAAAGACTATTGGAAGACTCCAGGGCAGGGTTAAGCTAATGTAGAGGTAGGAGAAGCCTCAGGTGCTGTGGTGGGGAGGGCACAACTAGGGCGGGAACTTCTTCTGGCTGTGCCTCACCCTGACCATCCTCTGCACTTAAAATGACAGCTCAGTCCTGCTATTTACACTGGGAGAGCACTGTACACTCCTGATACATAGAGTGCAGTGGACCATTTGTCAAAGTGACAGCAGAGCTCCACTAATTACAGTAATAGAGCAGCTCTTGCAGTGTAGCCTGAACGTCTGGGCTGTGACAGCCAAATCCTGCTCTTTATTAATAAATGAAAACTACTGATTGTAACCTTTATTTATAAATGAAGTCTGCAGCGCATCAACATAGATATTTACTGGGGATGAGGTTTGGATTTGCTGCTGCTATTAGATCACAGAGAAAAAATAATGGTTCTGGTGGGTTTATGTTTGAATTTACCATGGTAATGTTTTGAACAGCCAATAGAGGGGAATTCAGATAAAACAACACCCTCTTTATAAAGGGGAGGCACAGAGCAATTAAAAGAGACACTGTATTGAACCTAGTGTAGGAAAAAAGATAGGGAGAACTGACAAAACTGCATAGGCAGATTAGGCTCTTTGGGCAATCACTGTCTTTGCTGCCTCTGTTCCTATTATGAGGGGCTTTTTTTTGTCATTAGGGAAGTGGTCACTTTTAACTGCTGTCCCTTCCATAGAAAACTTTTTTTGCTGAAAGGCTTTTCAATAAAAAATTAGTTTTTGTTTTAGTGGGTGGCTTTGAGCTGCTTTTTGGTCCCAGCACACCACTGCATCATTTGAAAGAGAAAAAAAAAACAGTGTGCACTTAAACTTATATTTTATTGCTCACATTCACCACGCTCCCCTATCCCCATACTAAAAATAAAAGTTAGTCATACACCAGTTAGGTCTATCCATGATTAGGGCAGGTTCACACTATCTTTGTTCGGGCTGCACTGGCTGTTTTTTCCAACGCAGCCAAAATGCAAGACAAGGCAATTTGCCTTGACATGAATGAGCTCTGTTCACACCACCACATTCTGATGTCATGCGCTTAAAAAAATTACGGTATGCAGTATTTTTTGTGTGTAAATTCTTTATTTAAAGAGACAAAGTTGCATATACAGTAAACAATAAAAAACGGTGCCGTGCTAAAACAGATCAATATACAAAAGAGATCACCAGGATAGGTCACGTATCGGCTAAACAACAGCAGTAACTTAGTTTGTAGAATCAAAGACTATTCTGGTCTTGATACACCAGCTATCATCAACTTAAAAAGAAATGGTAAACATGTATAAACTTAACAAAGTTATTAATAAGCAATAAGTAACAGAAAATAAACAAAAACAGAGAAAGAAAGCAAAAAGGAGGGAAGAGAGAAAAACCACAAAGGAAGAAAAAAGAAAGAGGAGGCAGAGAGAGGGAATCAAGAGAAAGTCAGAACCTACAAGGAAAAGTCAGGGGATGAACAATTATTGCACAACCCCAGGTCCTGTATACGGAATGCAAAAAAAGGAGGTATAGTCATCAGAAAAAGCAAAGTCGTTCCATTAGAACCATATCTTGCAATATTTCTCTGCTCTATGATACAGAAAGGCAGTACGATCCTCCATTGTATTAATTTCTACAATTTTATAGAACCATAATGATAAAGAAGGGGGAAGTCTCCTATCTCCACAAGAGGGGAATACAAATCCTAGCCACATTTACGAGGTGAAATCAACACTTAGCACTTGTCTAGTGGCCAAGAGAGCAGAGAAAGATGCAGGGATAGGTCACTGGGTTGGCGCCCAGGTCTATCCTTATTAAATTGGAGATATGATGTCAGACTTGTTCACAAAAGGTACATATTTTGGGACATTACCATATTTATATTATGTATAATATGGAAATATATGTAGAAGGGAGCCCTCCTGACTATGACAGCACCAACATAAAGGTGCAAAATTCTATGTAACAAAGTAGGGGTTCTATACCAGCGTGTGAGGCTTCTATAACCAGGCTCCAAGACTCTGTTAGAGATAGAGGATCTGTGGGAGAAATACAAGATGTCAGCACTTTGGCCATCGGAAAATGTAATCTGAAGGTCCGCCTCCCACTTATGGAGGAAAAGAGGAATGTCATGAGCAGGAGGGGCCGAAAGAAGACTAAATATAGGACAGGGCATGTCTAAACAATCCTCTTTCTGTACTGATTGCTTGATGGAGTAAGGGGAGAGGAATTATTAATTTTCCTGTGTACTAAGTGTTAAAAATGGGGCAATTGTAAAAAGCTTCCATCTAGGAAGGGGGGGCGGAGTAAGGATGAAAAGTCCAGTAAGGAGGGAAGGTCAGAAGGAGACAAAAGTCTCCTAGTCTGAATTTTCCTTTGTCCTTGAGCTTATCCTCCAATCTGGGGCGGTTACCAAAAATTGGGGACATCTTGGTAGCTTTCCCTGCCACTACCATCAAAAGGGAGGAGGAGCAAGCCAACTTCAAGGTAAGGCCTAATAATGGATGGGCTCCAAACGGTCTACTTCTAGAGTCTGATAGCCAAGGCAGGTCTGCAGGGTGTGACTGTGAAGCTTCTTGCTCCAGGGAGATCCAAAGCTTGGAGTCATCATGTCTGCACCAGTCTAAAATGGGGGTAAAGTGGACGGCCTTGAGAGATAATTGGCCTGGTTGGGAAGGCTCAAGCACCCATGCAGCTTCAGATAATAAAGGAGATGAAAATCCAATTGAGGCTTCTTGCCTGCCCAAATAAATTTGATCCCTAGAAATTTAGAGGGGATTTGCACTAGTAGAGCCTGAAAGAGATAGAGCAACCTCAGCAGTATGTTCATGTTAATAATAGCAGCCCTTCTGAACTAGGTGTAAATCTCTGGACCACCAAAGAAAATCAGCTTTGATGGCATGCAGAAGCGGTGGAATGTTCGCTGAGAAGATGTCAGTCAAGTTTGGGGTGATTTTAGGGTCAGTGACAATAAAGAGAAGATCATCCACGTAGGCAGCAATTTTGTCTTGGCCGGAGGAAGTCGTAAGACCGGCGATGTTAGGGTTCTGTCTAACCTGGTGAGGTAGGGGCTCTAGGGTCAGAATGAAAAGCAGGGAGAGAGGGGACAACTCTACTGTTATTGAGCAAGAAAGGATCTGAAATTGCATAATTCGCCCTAGCAGCCGCTGAGGGGGTAGAATAGAGATAATTTATCCAGGTATGCATATGGGGGCCAAGGCCAATGTGTTCTAGGGTCAATTTCAAAAAGAGCCAACTGACCCTATCAAAAGCCTTTTGTATCTTTGCCCTCTTTAGGCAATACTGAGATGTGGGCCCACAGGGTTTCAGGAGGGAAGCAATGGGAGGGAGATAAAAAGCGGCTGTAAAGAGTGGGGCCAGAGTCAGACCAAAGGATTTATAATACTCCCCAGAGTAACCATCTGGGCGGGGGGCTTTCCAAAGGCTTCAATTATTTCACAGCCGCAAGAAACTTTGCTTCATTAAGAGGAGCCTCAAGAAGGTCTGAAGATAAAGAGGGCAACTGGGGAAGGCCAGCCTCCGAAAGATAGGTCCTGATTCTTGAAAGTAAATCAGACGGTGTATCAGAAGAGGTACAAGAGATATTATAAAGATGGTGATAAAAATCATGGAAACGCTGTGCAATGGCTTTGGATTGAAAAAGCTGGGTTCTATTTTCATCACAAACATGATGAATGGAAGATCGTAAGGTAAGGTTCCGTAAGGATTGGGCCAGCTTCTTCCCAGGCTTACTGTCAAACTCATAAAATGCTCTCAGAGTCTTAGTCAGGGCTGATTTCACTTTACACAGCAACAGAGAGGACAACCTATTCCTGAGCACCTTAAGTTCAGTAGCAAAGCATTGGGCTAAGGAATACAGTCCATGAGATCAGAAATAGATTGCAAAAATT